ATATATATATATATATATATATATATTTGTATATATTTGGAATAACATAAGTAGGATTCCATGGAGAAAGAAAAAGATAAGAAGGGTACCGTTTATTTAATATCACAACCATACCCTTTAAATCAACAATATATACTCTCTATTTATATCCAACAAAATGGACAAACTAGAAGTACGGTACATGAAAATAATTCTCAGAAACTAATTAATAAAAATATATATAGCCTCTCTCAACAAATATAATGTATGGTACAATACAGAAGTAGGAAAGAAATTAGAGAAGATATTATTCTATGGTTTTTGCTTCTGTGTGTAGATATAATCAATATGAGCCGCAAGAGTTCTTCTCATTAAGCACTCTTCTTCGCCAACACCTTCGCAGCTCTCCTCCACCGTCACTTTTTCTGCAGCTTGATCATGATCAACGCCCTTTAAAAGATAAGAACAGAAACAAAACTCACTAAATTAGTTTTCTTTTAAAGAATGCTTCAAAAGAAGTATAATCACTAGAAAATTCGAGAGAAGATAACTTAAAAACTTGATCGTTTTACAGGCTTGAATCACAATATTCAAACCTTTTTGTTATAATGTTAAAATTTCTGGTCGTTCAAACCCTACGATCCAAAAAAGGGCAATTAATTATTACCTGATGTACAAGCTCTTCCACTGGATCATTGGTAATGCCAGGACCTGGCCGAGCCCTGCTGGTTATTGAGAAGAAGAGGAGGAGGACTACCATGCAAAGTGTGGGGGTGACCTTGGACGACATCGTGTGTACTTTAAGCTTAATTTTCAGAACAACTTTGAAATATGTCTTCAGAAGTGTGGAGACTGTATAATAAGATAAATGGAATTTATAGGAGTTTGAAATGAAGGCATGAAGGGCATATGTGGAATTATCACAAAGGAAGAGAAGATTCTCAACCATACCTTTTCTTTTTCTTTTTCTATTTTTTCCTTTTAATTTAAGATACTGACCAATATTAATTTAAGACACGAAAAAAAAAAAGGAGTAAATAGACGACTTTTTGATAAATTAAAGTAGAGAGTGGAAAACAACACACGGCCGGCTAATTTTAGAGTAAATCAGCTACGCATGGATGTATGCAGCCGCTTGACCATTATAAATAAATTCTAGAACTAGGGTTAGTTTGGGCTAAAAATATTTGATTATGTTGGATAAGTCAATTCGGCTTTTCTTAAATATGTTACGATGGGCTAAAACTCAAAGTTTGATGAACTGTTCTTTTCCTTTTAATAACGTCTAAATGGCGCGATTATTCACTAATCGATGTGTAATTACTAATTAATGTGAACTCTATGAATTGTACTAATTGTTGATTTATATGTCATATTAAATATATGATTATCAATAATCAATATCTTAATTAGATAGTAAATTTTTTTTTTTTTGAATTTAGATGATATTTGAATAGTGTTGTTTAACAAATTAGCTTTTCTTAAATATTCAATTTTATCCATAAGTATAAATCACGATAGGCCAAATTCTAGAAGGGTAATTAAATAGGAAGATGCTTGGAAGTTGCGTGTTGTGTAGCTTTGTCAACGCGTATTTTGATCCATGCAATGACCAAAAGCAGCCGTCATTGCATAGGAGTTGACCATTGCTCTTTCTTACGTTGCATGATGACAATAACCCCTTTATTAGTTTTCTCACCAAATTAAAACGAGTTATTCATCCGTACACATATAATTACTAATTAGCGTGTGTTTAATAGTACCTCATATAAACGGCTCAAAAAATTTTAAAAAATAAAAAAAATCAGCCACCAAATTTGGTGGCTCGCAAAAAGAAAATTTCTATATTCCTTGTTTCGTGATAAGATCATATGTCTAATTTTTCAAAAATGAACTTTCGGTAGCATTAACGTAAAGTGTTGGTCGTCTTCTAGAAAATATGTGGTTGTAAATTCGCGTGTCTTCCATGGCAGGTTGAAAGTCACGAGCTCTTTTTTATTGATTCCTTTTAATGATTTCTCTTTTTCAATTTTTTCTACTTCTCTTTTTTTTTTCTCTGCTGGGGCGTCGGCTGTCCATCAAAGGGTATATCCGACATATAAAATATATAATTACATTGCCACAAAACATACACAATGTTAAACTCTGACGGTTCACAATCATACCAACACTTAACCATAAACACATTTATTAACTTGGTATAATGCATCTGTCGCCCGTTTTATAATAGAACCTACAAGTCCTGTTCATTTCACCGATTCAAGTTTAGAATTCGAGTTTTGCTATAATAAAATGCTCTCAGAAACAATCACATCTGACTTTTTTACTATAATAAAAAGCTCTCACATAAAGTCACATCTCAACTCGAATCAGCGAATTAAACAGACCCTTAATAGTCCTACACATGTGCGCTAATCCTTTATAACTGGATTTTCACCTGAAATTGATTATGAAACGATTAATGGGGTTAAAAAGTATGTGTACATTGGCAACATAAGGAATTGTAAAAGAGTAGGGTTAGATACACCAACTCAAATCACAACTTTTGTACACTAATTGATGTGTCATGTGATTTTTGAATGTGTTGATAAAAGTAATTAAAAACGATAATAAAAGATAAAAAGACATATAATAAGGTGCGTCAATTTAGTGGAACAAGTAATGCATCATCATAATGTGGTTTGGCATGATTCGGAAAGCAAGAGCCAGTGGATCTTTATAAGCATGTCTTTGCACTAATAAACCCCTTGGACATCATGATCTTATTTGCCCCCCGAATGTATATATCTCTTTCCTTAAATTGGTGGAAAATAAGAAGTAATAATTTCATTGTCTCTTTAAATGAGGGAAGGAGAAAGTCAACAGCCTGTGGCAATAAAGGTGCATAAAAGAGCACGCCATTCTATTCACACTAATGAATGCTGTATTGGTGGGGTTGGGTGGGCTTTAAAAGGGTTGAAGGATGAGGTAAGTGTATCTCTAATATCTCTAAGGTAATGTTATAATCAGTGTATCAATGATAGATTTAACTCAAATGTTGTCTAAATTTATTAAATACTATACTTTGTGACAAATTTACTATTAAGTAACATATGACAACTTTGATATTTAATTGATGTTGGTTTATATGTTTACTTTTCCATTTAATCATTACAATTTTACATTTTAAATTATTTTAACTTTAAAAGTTTGTTTTTATAACTTTTAAAACTTAATAATTATGAAAAATAAATTTAAAATTTGAAATAACGTTATGTATTGAAGCACAAACACATTTTATCATCTTTTTTGTGGTGCCAAATTGATATTAACATTTGTTATTAAAAATGGTGTAATATCAGGAAGCGTAACAGTCTGTAATTAAAGAAGCTTTTTCATTTTCATTTATTTGTTTTTATTTTTTATCTTTTGGTGTTCCCTTAAAGAAGCTTCTTTGATCGGCCTTATAATTTGATTGTTGAGAGTTGATACTTATATAAGGCCTAAGTTGGATGCGAATTTTTATCTTCACGGGTATCTTGTACCAAGTACAACCGTTCACTTTGCCATTTCTGCAAAAGCAAAGACATATCAATTAGGTGCGGTTTATATGTCCAACAGATGGTGGTTCACACGTCACGTATGGATCTTTTTTTTTTTTTTTTTTTTCAAGAAGAAAATTTTCTTTAACAGAAAGTTCCACAGCTTCATGCACGCAGTTTAATAAATAAAAAAATTTTGCTACCTTTACTTAATTAAAACTCCACCATATCTTGAGCATATCTTGACAATTTTTATTATTATTTGTGGACGTCACATAGCTTAGAAAAATTGAACTATGATCAATATTTATGTTTTTCAACTCCAAACTACCCATATCAGTCACAAGTTTTTTTATCCAATATATATATATATATATATATATACATATATCATGTGTTCTCAGGATATAAAGTACATTACTATTAAGTGATGAAAATGAAAATTTTTATATAGAAGGAAAAAAAAAAAACATCTTCAAGCTCACTAATATCAAGTTGTATTTTAATCCATTTGAAATTATGCAGTAATACAGTGAGAATACTGAAAACGAAGTTGAAATTTTGCTCACCATGCTTTCAGCTTCCAAGGTTTGGGCCGTGACTCCCTCCAGAAGCTCCCGAGTCCCGCGCCAAAAAAAATTAAAAACAGAAACAAAAACTGAATGTGCTTAAATTGTGTAATGGAATTGTGCAAGAATACAGTGAGAATACTGAAAACGAAGTTGGAATTTGTTTTTCATGCTTTTGTCTATAAGCTAGTAAAAAGGGAGGTTATTTTACTATCAGGTTTAAGCCCACCCTACAGAAACGGGAAATTTATGGTGAAGACTAAATTACTGTACTCAGCTTGCTTCATACAGTTTAATAGCCATATAATTATGAAATAGGTTACTAGATTAACTCCATCAAGGCCAAAAAGGAATTGCATGAAAGCTATGCGCCCAATTAAATGGGATCAAAAGTGATGTCTGGCAAACATAATCATCTAAAGCTTTATAATAAGGAATTTATTATAAAGCATTTACAGGTCATATATCTTACCAGCAATAAAAATAAGCTAAACCTAAACCTGAGGGTCAAAAGAAGAGCTAGTACTAGGATGGAAATGACTGTGAATCCACCTTGCCATCACCAAATTCACCGTCTTCAAGCTCCTCGTGATCACCATGTCTACGAGAACCCTGCCGATGACCTCTCCTATGTCTTTTGTGTCTGCTTTCATGATCTGACTCTTCGTGCTAGGAAAACAAATCGCAACTTTTATCAGGGTCTAAATTTTCTAATGAACACAGATAAAGGAAAAAAAAAAAAAAAAAACAAATTGTCAATTATTTCTATGCAGTCTTCATACCCGTCTTGATTTCTTGTGTTCGCTACTAGGTCCATGGGATTTCTTAAACTGATCGGTCTCGTTTTCATCTGCATAATCCTCAGAACTGTGATGCCTCTTCCTATGTCTCCTATTACTTTCTTTCACTGACCTTTTCTCATCTTTGCTAGCACGACTTTCATTTAAATCAGCAGTTTTATTGTCCATTCCATCTTCTTTCTCTAAGTGCTCCTCCTTTTCTTTCATGCGTCCTCCCTCTTTTTCCTTTCTTTGCTTGACCTTGCTTCTGTCTCCCTCCTCTCTCTCCTTTTCCTGCCTTGCCTGCAGAATGTAGAGAGTTAGAAAATAATAGCAGCAATACCCTATAATTACACATAGAAGCCCATATAAAATAGCTTGTTACCTTTTCCTCCTTTCTTTTCTGCTCTCTCTCTTTCGCCTGCTCTTTAAGTTGCATCACATATTTCTCAAATATCTGCTGACAGAGGCTCTCTAAACCAATCGAACTATACGAGCATTCAATAAAACCCAGCGATTAGCATATTCATTGATGCATTATACTATCCATTTTAACACATCATCCACTCCGAGAATTTTGCACCCAAAATTTTGTAGCCGCAGAGAACACAATTTATTAGATATACAAGCAATACCTGTACTCGTGACTCTTGTCAAAGAGCGATTTGCAGTCTTCCCACTCAGAAGATGCATTTATCTCCTGCAAAAAATTCAGAACACTGGGTAAAAATTTGGAAGCCAAGAAACAAAATAGGTAAAATAAAAAATAAAAATAAAAAGTCCCTTGCGTTCTTAGAAAATAAAAGCTCTGAAAACTAGAGGGATTGCTGCATGCTAAACCTTGATAGAAGAAAGCAGGTAAGAGAAATCATCCACAAGACGTTTACGCTTTTTAGCTTCTTTCTCCTCCTTCTCCCTCACTCGTTCAAGTAACTCATCAAATACTAGCTGCAAGAACATAGCAAATCACATCAAATTATGGTGGAGTGGAATGCACATACCACATGTAACAAGAAATTCTCAAAACAATCACCAAAAATACATAACCATAGTACCTTTAAATTGACGTCACGTACTGGTGGAGAGCCAATATCATTTGTAATCGCATTTTTGAAGTCATCCAATGTCCAGGTTGATGACAACGTGATCTGAGAATCCCAGACTTTAGATGCTTAGACGTTTTAAAAGCATGTAAAAATAAAAAATGTAGATGAACGATACCTTTCCCAACTTGACTGCATCTTTTACTCTGGATTTATCATCATGATACTGTAAAAAGTAGAGTGAAAATTTTTTCTTGTAAGCACATGCACATTGATAGAGCTCAAGCAAAAGATGAATATTACGAGAGTTTATATTGTAACAGCAAAACATAGTTTCCAGCATAAACTATAATTTGAGACCTAAACAGGTCAATGATCACACAGCTAGATGAATGTGATTTTCATCCATCAGTTGGTCAAACTCTATTCCCTTATATATGGTTTAAGAATGGAGTAAAAGTAAAACTAACAAATTTCCCCGGTAATATGAGCAGAATAATACCGTTCTAAAGAAAAAAGAATGTTAGTCAAACATAAAACATCAAATTGATTAGCGAGTTCAGTTTTGAAAATACAATCAAAGTATCAAACACACAAAGAAGCGTCTTTAAAAAAAATAATAATAATAATAAATAAAAATAACAACTTTACAGCCTGCAAGTACTAAACTTGATGCAACCACCAACAATTCTATATAAAGACTAAATATTGGCAACCACGGAAGGCAATGATATGTTTTTGCTTTGTGGTTGTTGTTTGGGGGGTAAAGGAGTTACAGGTGAATTACTTGTTTCTGAAGCTCCTCAACAACGTCTTCAAACAAATCTTTTGAAGTTGAACCAGAGGTGTTTGATGCAACTGCTTGATATTCGGGCAACTCTTTAACCTAACGGCATAAAATAAAATGAGATTGAAATAAGGATACTGAGCAACACAGAACTCAATCCCAACTAAATTTTGGCTTGAAGAAACCATACAGCTTCTCCAAAACAACATTTCAATAAATAAAGAGTCAAAGAGAGGTAACTAACCTTCACGCAATAATCACGCCAGTGAGTTTTGGCAGTAAGAGTGCCTGCAGCAACATGATCTTCCATCAGTTTGCGGAACTCATCACGATTTTTACGCTCTGCCTTTCTTAATTCCTCCTGTACACAAAAGGTTCAGATCAGATTATTATTCTAGAATCTGGGGTATGGCCAAGGCAGGAAAAAAAAAGGAAACAGAAGATCATAGCAGAAACACAAAAGAACCTTCTGTATCTTCCTCTGCTCCTCCTCTTCTCTCTCTAGATCATTTAGATATTCCTGTGGCATACAATGAAATTATCAGCGAAAGTCCAGCTCAACCTACAGCAAAACGAGTGGCAAAAATACCTGAAAATGTTCCAAGCGGTCAATCTTTTCAAGACAATAACATCTCTCGTCAGCCTCTAAGCGGTCTTGAACTTTTCGCCACTGGCTGCTTGCCTAACAAGAGACGATGTAAAGATGCATAAATAATAACTGGTGAAGTGGAACAGATTAGATAATTTTTAAGTATGTTAAACAAGTACCTTGATAAAGTCACAAGACTCCAGAAACTGCCGGTACTCAATTATTTTGCGCTTGCGTTCCTCCTGTTCCTTTGCTCGTTCCTAACCATAATTGCAATGTTTAAACAGTATGAGCATATATTAAGACCATACTGATATTTATCATGTTCAAATACAGGACTCCATAAACAACTGATGACCATATTTTGGCTCCAGACTAAGGGGTATGCCACACAGGTTTATGACGCAAATATTAGTGCTAGCAGTCTACTGCTTAGATTGAGATTAATTAGCAATAGCATACCTTCTTTTTGAGTTCTTCAATATAGTTATCAAACAGATCCTTGCGGTCTCTATCTCGTTCAACAGCTCTGAATCGCTCATCTTTCTCAAATAAGCTCTCTGCTTTGCTGAATGTGATAAACATATTTCAATTAGCAAAGATCTATTATCACAAAGACCATCTCAGCAGGATGCCACCATGGCAGAAAAGACAAACCTCCATCTTATAGATGATGTCAACTCTGCGGATTCCTGCATAGAGTTCAAGACAAAATTAGAAAGAATATACTTGGATGAAAAAAGTGGACCAGATTTTCCTCGCAACAAAAAATAATAATAGAGACTGGATGAAATTTCCAATTCAGAAGAAAACATACTTCCAACATTCTTTTGAATTCTTCCCGTGCTTTTTTCTGCCTAATACGTCTCTCTTCTGCTTCCTGTTTTTTCCTTTGGCCCAAAAACTATAGCATAAAATAAAATATATTAGTTAAAAAAGAGACACAGAGAGAGAGAGAATCAAAATAATATAGATCTGCTAAATGAAAAGGCAGTGTATGGTGAATAGCAAATTCTATATCCAATGTTCAAGACCTTTTGTTATTACAAAACAAAAGCAAATTAAAGCATCAACAATTGGACAAGGACTTAATAACCATACTTGAATGTATGCTCAAGTTAGGCAAACATAAATACACAGGCACACACAGGGAAATAGAAAGATTCACCTCATTGAAAGCATGCTTCCGCTCTCCAAGTGTTTTCAGAGCACCGTATCTTTTGTCATTAATTATTACTCTCATAGCCTGATTACATTTAGTACAACGTCAGATTGACAGGTACGTATGAAAAAATATAGATTAAAAAAATAAGGCTCTTGAACTACCCGATCCCAAGTCCAGTCAGAGCCAATGTTAGCAGACTCCATCAGTGTCATAAATGCATTTTTTGCATCCTATGAAAAGAGCAAATATGAAGAACAATGCATAGTGCCAAGAAAACATAAGAAAGACTGGAAGATGGGTAAAATCCAAGTTGTACCAGCTTATTTGCATAAACTAAGGGTTCACGGTCGACCACTATATCTTCTGGGGCAATATCATTTGCTTTCTCCCCTATTAAACCATTTGAAGCTTCCTGCAAAACCTTAGCAACATCAAGTTGCTAGAAAAGGCATATCAAGCATTTTTTTTACCATACAAGTTAAACCCAGGAATACCTCTTTATGGTGTGTAGAAACTCCATCTGAAGAATTAATTGTATCCTGAGCTGCATTATTTGAATTATTCCTGCAAAATTAGGCAAAAAATTAACTGAAATGCACAAACGGATTAAAACACAACCAATAAAAATAGCTACGAGGAATAGTACATTTTCTCTGTGGCTACATTGGTGGCAGTCCCTATACTTCCAGTATCAGTGTCGGATGTTGAGACAACATTTGAAGGTGTAGGATCTTCAACTGTGTTTACTTTTATAGCAGAAGCTACATGAGGCGAGGAAGATGATCTTGAAACCTCAATACCTTGTGGTTCAACAACAGCCGCAACAGGTTCCACCGAAACAGGGCTTGATGTTATTCCCAGAGCTTTGGGAGATGCATCTGCATTGACCGTGGGCGAAGAAACAGAATCTGGGACAGAGCAAGATGTTTCCTGCTGTGTTTCCTTATGAGAGGCTTTTGCTACTTGCTCACGAGCCAACTAAATTTGCAAAGAGAAAAGTGGGAAAAACATGAGAAATAGGAGGAAAAAAAATTGAATCTTTTTCAAATTGGATATCGTGGAAAAGTTACCTTCAGTTCCTCAGGCATCACCCATTTCGATTCTTTAGTGACTTTATTATAGTAATACCTGGAACAAATACGTGTATAATAAAAAGTCTCAAATGACCAAAAAAATTGCAAAATCATAGGAATGACATGCTTTCTTTCTTTCTTTCTTTAATTTTATTTATTTATTCTTTTAAGATACTTCCATCAATTGATGGTGAAATCCATTATAAAGGAAAGAGGACAAGTCCTCAAGAATGTCGGACTTTCAAAAACCCAAGAGAGCACTCACTTTTTTCCATCAGGACTAGTAAATTCCTTCCAGTTAGTTGTTGCATCCGCTTTCTGCCACAGCGACAAAATATCATAGTGTCAATATTCCATCATTCAAGAAATCTATGGATAAAATGCAAAAGAGAGGAAGAAATCATTCCAGGTCAATACTTATCATTTAAGTCTTATTTCTATTTACATTGATCATAGTGTCGATAAAAATAATGTGGGTACATGAAATTTCTGACATACATCCAAATCCTCAATCAGTACCAGCATTGAATATAAAGCAAAATAGTCTAGAATAGAGAACAGTGCATCTCACGTGGTGAACCATGAAGAAAACTAACCTCATAGAATTGGTTAGATACTATGGAAATATTTCACACATATCTGTGTAAAAATCAAGTAAAACAAATGACAGAGTTTACTAACATTAAGATTATACAGTAGGCAGAGCTAGCAGCAAAGACCCACGGCACATCCTACCTCTCAATAGAGTGGCACAGCATGTACCTGTAAGCATCTTTAAGGCTATGGAAGTCGTATAAATGTCATAATACCTCAGAGGTCCTTATGTAAAGAGAATACCTTCGAAGTAGATCAATAAGTTAATAAGAACCAAACAAGCAGATATGACCGCAAGTAAATATTTCATGAGAAGAAACCAAGAAAGTAACTTTCAATAACGATCTTATTCATCATTAAGGTAACACAAAGCTAGATTCCACATACTAAAACTATTTCATGGTATGGCCTTATGAGTTATAAGTCAAACATAATGAAAATGAAATCATGCCTATGACTCACCTCAGTGGGTGTCATCAATTCCACAGGCTTCTCCCAACTTGATAATCTTGTCCTCCGATTGTAATAGTATCTGAATAATTCATATAAAGTCGAAATCATTTCAATTAAACTAACAAATAGACAATCCAAACCAAAATTCGTCAGCCAAAAAAAGTCTACATTAGTAGGTTTAAGTCTAACTATTGAAAGAGCAAACAAGGACAGGCAACAAACACTAATCAAAATGATTACTTTTTTCCATTAGAAGACATATGTTCTATCCAATCCGATAGGGCCTCTGCACTGAGGTCAGGCTGAACACTTGTCACCTGAGATTTTAAGTAATTGCACACAATATCACCATAAGGAAAACTGGCAAAGACGCAAAAAGTTTGTCACTAATGCATAAAGAATTAAGTGCAAGGATGGAGATAGAGGAAATGATCTTACAGGAGCAACGGAATTTGTCATCGCTGGGTTTTCGATGGTCTGCTGCTGAGCTATGACAGAGGTTGGGTCATTAAAACTTCTTCGTATTTGACCATAGGAAGGAGCAAACTGAAAAAGAACAAATGCAAATTACAAATTAAAGGGCTAAATGCACTCAACCAAATTGTATAGTTGGCCGCGAGAAATCTCCTGAAACTTACAGTATATGATGACGAGAACGATACTCCAGGGCCACCTATACCAGGCGTGAAGTTACTTGGAGTTTGAACACTGGGCTGAGGATGGGCAATGGGCAAGGGATGGTTGTTTGGAAGTGCAACCGGCAATGGAATCGTCTGCAGCGGCAGCATATCTTGAGCTCTTGGAGGAAACTGCTGCGTCGGTTGAGAATAAAAGGGCTGCTGAAATTGAGGTGGGGCAGGAGGCAATGCATTCATCGGCGGGACACCTCGCCCGATCGGCTGAAAAGGCTGAGTAGTCACAGGAATGAACTGTTGTGCCGGAACAGCAGGCCGGTACTGCACCAAAAGCACAAAAAACAAAAAGGGTTCATTAGATTAATAAGAAATCTGCAAGTGACACACAAAACTTGTACGTTGGGTTTGGGAATATGAGTTACTTGAAAAGACATTGGAGGCAGACTTTGAGGAGGATCCATGGAACCAACTATAGGAGGCCGAATAGACTTTTCCCAAGACACAAAAACAACAGTGACAATTAAACTTTAGCAAGGCACACAAAAAGGACTAGCATTCATTAAAACAAGAGAAAGTGTATATATATTATATATATACATATACATATATATATATATATAAATGTATGTATTGAAACATACCAAATTTGTTATACCTGTACACCTGAAATTTGGGGGTTATTGGCCATTGCAACAAAAGTTCAACCCTCTAAAAAACTGCAAAACCAACAACAATAAATATTACCGACATCAAAGGACCAAAGAGTAATAAGATTCTGGAAAAGATGAGGATAGAAAAACTAAAAAGTGATAACTTTATCATTCAAATACAAAGAAAGTTCTTCCTATACGGTTCAATTCGGGCAAATAAAATCAATAAACTACAATAGAACGCCAATTAAAAACAAAATTCAATTAAGAACAACGTCTAACTGAACCTAAATTCTTCAAGAACACGGCTTTAAGGTTCAGAAACACGAATGTGGGAAGTGGATTACTCAGAAATCGAGCTTCGAAAAACATTAATGGCGAACAATTTAATCCAGGATAACAATAAAACCAAAAAGCCCCAAAATAGACTATCAAAACAAATTCTAAAACCTAGAAACAATTGCTTGTACCTCAGTGAGAGGAATTGGCGTTGGAGGCGATAATGATTGGCATCGAAAAGTGCGAGAAAGCGAAAGCCCTTGATTGTTCAGTTGGGATTAAAAAGAGGGGGAAAACTGCAGGAAGTGCAATTTTCTGTTTTTGCTAGTAAAAAGTGCAATTAATTAAAAATAGGCTACGGAATTTATAAGGGAACCAAAAACGGAAGTGAAAAAAAAGAAAGAAGAGAATCATAAATAAATACGAAAGAACAAAAGAGAAAGTGCAAAGGTGTGGGTTTCGCGCGTTATAGATTTCCTGTTCTTATACTGAAACTGAAAATAATTGGTTTCTTATTTCTTTTTTTTTTGATGGAGAGAGACTTGATTTATGAATTTAAAATTATTTTTATTTTATATGTATTTTTTATAAAAAAAATAATATAAAATATCATAAATTATAATTTAAAATTAAAAATACATATAAGAAATAAACATCTGCTCAATTAATTATTGATTGTCGTTTTGTAATATAAATTTAATAATTAAAAAATAAAAAATTAACGATAATTTATTTATTTTTTACTCTTATTAAAAAAAAGAACTCCCTAACCTCATTGCTTAAACTTTTCAGATTATTTCTAGTGTATGTATCCCTTCAATTTTAAAATTTCTCACCTTATCAAATTTAAAATGACTCTCATTTAGTTTTTTTTTTTTTATCCAGAAACTCGGTTAAAAACAAAAGAGAACAAGAGATGGTGAGATCACATTTATTTTTCAAATAGAGGGAATGGGAAAAATCACGTAACTACACTTTTAATTTCTTTTTTTTATAATTTTCACAAAATTCTAAAAAAATATTAAGTTAGACTAAATTAAAATTTAAAGAGAAAAAATGAAAGGTGCAAAATTTAAGAGCACCAACAAGATTAACTCAAAAGTTAAAATTAAATAAAGAAAAAATAAAAAGCTAATTTTTATAAGACGTCCCATAAAAACTAATTTAAAAAACTCTACTTAATTATTTATTGGGTCCGCTTTTAAGAATTGAGTGGTATTAGTTTTAATTTCAATAACAGAAATGATAATCATCCTCATAGAATATAAATTCTATTGTGAGTGAGTCCCACTTATATAATATGACTTAAGAGATGTTTGGTTCATAGATTAGAATCATGAGATTAGAACTATTTTTAATTTACGTGTATTTTTTGTAAGAAAAAATACTGTAGCGAGCCACAAACCATGATTCGGATCAGGGGCTGAATCCCCTTTCTAAACGTCCCCCAATTTATATAAGTAGCGGGATGAGTAGATAAATAAAATATCATTTCTAAAAAAATTGAGACTATGTATAGAGGCACACACGAGACTAACCTAGAAAATAATAAAAAATTATCTTCAATCTCCTAGTCCTAACCAAAGATTTCAAACCATTGAAGATAGTAAGACGTTTAGTTTATGAATTTAAAATTATTCTCATTTTATGTGTATTTTTTATGAGAAAAAATATTGTAACGAATCACGAATTATGATTCAAATTATAGTACGAATCTACTAACTAAACGCGCGCTAAAAGATGTGTTTATTTTAGAATAAAATAATAATTCAAGTCATATTATTATAATATTTTTTTATAAAAATTTTAATTTTTTTTATTATAATATTATATATATAAAGTGTGTATATTTACAGTAAGTTGTGTATATTTACACAACTTACTGTAAATATAAAGTGTGTATATTTACACGTAAGTTGTGTATATTCACACGTAAGTTGTATATATTTACATGACACTTGTATAATTGTACAATCGTGTATATTAACATGTAAATCGTGTATATTTACATATAAATCATGTATGTTAAGTTATAAGAAACGACAATGTATATTAATCCTCAAACCATGTTTTTTTTATAGCAATTAGTGAACACATAGCATGAAAATATGTATATTGACTGATTTATTATATTTCATGTTAAATATACATGACTTTACATGTAAATATACATAATTTACGTATAAATATACACAATTTATACACGATTATACAAGTACCTGACTGGTCAAGCACTTTCTAAGTGTCTGACGAGACAATCTATAATTTAAGTTATAACTCAAATTATCTAATATATATATATAAGCACGGAAATCGGCAGCCACGAAAAAGATTCTGGCCCCGTTCATTTCACTGATTCGAGTTTAGAATTTAAGTTTTGCTACAGTAAAAAGCTCTCACAAACAATCACATCTAACTTTTTTGCTACAATAAAAAGTTCTCACATAAAATTACATCTCAACTCAAATTAAAAACTCAAATCAGCGAACTAAACGGACTCCCATTTTTCTCACTTCATTCCCTTCCCCGTCCCTCTCAATGACAGTAATTCTCGTGGGGTATTGGTCTTTCCTTGGCAACACCTTCAACATCCATTCCACTTGGCACTCTTCTCCAACCTTCTAGACCATCCTCTCTCCTCTTCCAAGCCCGCCTTTAATGGCCTCTCTCGTCTCTCGTACTTCCTCAAACGAACAACACCAAGAACGAGCTCTTCTCCAATGGCGACTCTTTCAATTACCTCCCATTGTTCTTCTATACCCACATGGAAGAAGAAGAACAAAAGCTCATCTTTCACCAAGATCAATCCACTTCGCAACAACACCCACTTCTCCTTTTCTCTCTCGAGAAAATCAGCTCTCGGAAAATTCTCCATTAAAGCCGAGCTAGATGAAAAACCCACTTCTTCTTCGTCTTCTTCTACTGTGTTTTCAGAGAAGCCAAGTGATACTGAAGAAACCCAGAAGAGTGAAGCGGTTTCTGAGTCTGAAGAAGAGGAAGAAGAGCAAGAGAAGGATTGGAAGACGGACGAGGAGTTCAAGAAGTTCATGGGGAATCCGTCGATTGAAGCGGCGATAAAGTTAGAGAAGAAGAGAGCGGATAGGAAGCTCAAGGAGCTAGACAGGGAAAGCAGCGACAGTAATCCACTTGTTTCCTTCTTCAGCAGAGCTGTGCGAGAGAGCTTGACCAGAGAGAAAGAGAGGTTGGAGAAAGCTGAGCAGAGCTTTAAAGCTCTTGACCTTAACAAGGTACATACTTCTCATTAACTATGGCTGTTTATAAATAGAATGTCTTATATTGTTGGTAGTCTAAGGCCCGTTATTTCGTTTGTTTGAGTTAAGAGTTTGAGTTAAAAGGTGAATTTACATGAGAGAAAGCACCTTTTTATAAGAAAAAACATTATAGCAAAAGGTTTGAATTCTGATTCAAACAGTGAGATGAACGAAGCGTAAATCACTTGCATATCATGTATTTGTTTTGACAAAATGAGAATTTAAGAGCAGTTAAAATTGAAAGACGGTCATGTGATAAATCTGTTGGTAATTTAATGATTTGCATTGACGAGTACAATTTAGAAATTTTAAGGTCCTAATAGACACAACCCTGAAGTTTAAGGAGGGTAATGTATAAGTAATATATTTTATTTTGGTAATTTATCAGGCTTTCATTGTATTTTGTTTGCAATGTTGTGATAACCAAAAAGCAACAAACTTTGTGTACTCGAGTATCTTACTATGTTTTATTTGATACTACAGTTGAAGAGCTGTTTCGGTTTTGATACATTTTTCGCGACTGATGTTAGAAGATTTGGGGATGGAGGAATTTTCATTGGAAACTTGAGGAGACCCATTGAAGAGGTCATTCCTAAATTGGAGAAAAAGCTTTCTGATGCGGCAGAAAGGGATGTGGTTGTATGGTTCATGGAGGAAAAAACAAATGATATCACAAAACAGGTACTTTGATATGTTATATTTTCATGCAGTATCAAAGTAGTCTTTCTTTTTTTAGGAAATTTAAGATCTCATTTGTTGTCGTTTTCTCAGGCATGTGTGGTGCAACCTAAAGCAGAAATAGATCTCGAGTTCGAGTCAACCAACCTGAGTACCCCGTTGGGTTACATTAGTGCCATAGCCTTATGTGTTACAACTTTCGGGACCATAGCTCTGATGAGTGGCTTCTTCCTTAAACCCGATGCGACATGGGATGACTATATTTCTGATGTTGTGCCTCTCTTTGGTGGCTTCATTTCCATCTTGGGGGTTTCTGAGGTAAGTACTTCAGGCAAATATTTTGTTATGCAGAACTTTCAAGAGTCTAATCTAGAAAGTGATATAAAACCTTAAGTTGATTAAAAGCAACAAGTAGGAAAAGAAGAAGTTAAATAATTTGCAAACGGAAAAAGGAATAGAGAAAGGGATACTAAAAAAACATGTACGTATATCTATATCAAATCTTCATGATTTACACCTTTTGATCAAGAAGATCTTAATAGAGAACGTAATTTAATGCATTTAAGCCGGTGTAAGTTGTTTCCTATTTCGTAGACTTTGGCGTCTTTGAAGGCAAGCTAATTAGCTGTCTCTTATTTGGTAGAATTTTGCATGTTTCTTGCATGCTTACAAAGTTCATCTCATGCAGATAGCTACAAGGTTGACGGCAGCTCGTTATGGTGTGAAACTGAGTCCATCTTTTCTTGTGCCATCCAATTGGACGGGGTGTCTAGGAGTGATGAATAACTATGAGTCGTTGCTACCTAATAAGAAAGCTCTCTTTGATATTCCGGTGGCACGAACAGCTAGTGCTTATTTGACGTCGCTAGCACTAGCAGTCGCAGCCTTTGTGGCTGATGGCAGCTTTAACGGGGGTGATAACGCATTGTAAGTTACTTACCCTTTATATACTGAAAATAGATTTATAATTAAAAAAAATAAAAATAAAAAATAAAACTACTATGCTAGAGTTACCAAACAAGTTAAAGCATGCTTTCAGAGGGTTATCATCTTAAAAATGGTAGCTTCTAAAGAAAAGAAATGGACAAAGGTGACAGGCTTAAAGAAATCATTTCTACACATCAAAAGCATCTTTGTTCTTAGTTTTGCTGCTGAACATCTTTTCTGACTTGTTTTGTTACCCGGCGGACAGCATGTTTGTGAAGCGGGGATAGGTGCCGTTCCAACATGGCTCCGCCCCTGCTGCAAATGCCTAGACAATGTTAAACACACATCTCTATAATTTTGCAACCATTGTAAGACCATGGATAGTGCTAGTAAACTGTTCAGAAGTGCATTTTAACACAACCCTTTATTTTCTGGACTTGCGTTGTTATATATCAATGTGAAGTGCTAAACCGTTGTTGCTTAATTTCATCAATCATTCTTTTTTTCTCTGTTTGCAGGTATATAAGGCCTCAGTTCTTCTATAACAACCCATTGCTTTCTTTTATCCAGTATGTTATCGGACCTTACACAGATGACCTTGGAAATGTATTGCCATATGCAGTAGAAGGTGTTGGAGTTCCTGTTGATCCCCTGGCTTTTTCTGGGCTTTTAGGTGAGTCATGTGGACTTCACTATTCATAATATCCAATCCTTTTCCCTCCAGAAACTTTTATTGCTTATTAGATGGGCTCTATATTTCCTTCTTATGCCAGCTATGTTCAGTAGTACAGAAAACTCATCGCTAATGGTCAATAACAAATCTCTCTTTTGACTTCATTTTTTCAACAGGAATGGTGGTGACATCTCTGAACTTGTTGCCTTGTGGAAGGCTCGAAGGAGGGCGCATAGCGCAGGCCATGTTTGGGAGGAGTACCGCGACTCTGCTCTCTTTCGCAACTTCGCTTTTGCTTGGCATTGGAGGGCTGAGTGGAAGTGTCCTGTGTTTGGCATGGGGTTTGTTTGCAACCTTTTTCCGCGGTGGAGAGGAAATACCTGCGAAAGATGAGATCACTCCATTGGGGGACGACAGGTATGCTTGGGGTTTCGTCCTCGGTCTCATCTGTTTCCTGACTCTCTTCCCCAACAGTGGAGGGACATTCTCTAGCTCCTTCTTAAGTGGGCCATTTTTCAGGGGTGATATGTAAATACATTTTATAGAATTGTAAAAATTTTCAGGTTTTAAGTGTTTAATTTGTTTTCTGTAGTTAGATTTATGCTCTGCAAGCTAATTCCGAGAAAGGAAGATCTACTGTATATTTTTCTTTTTAATTCTCCCTTGAATGATAAAATGTTCAAAAAGTGTATAGAAACATGAACCAACATAAACTATTGTTGATCTTTTTTGATAGCATCAACTATTAATACAAGATTGCGTTTGCGTGGATCTATCCAACTGACCAAAAGATTGAGAAAAAGTAAAAAAATTCAACTGACTAAAATATTCTCTTATTGTTAGTTAAGTAGGAATATAATTGGCGTTTTCTTGTCTGAGTGTAGCCTACTCAAAGAATTTGGAAGAAAACTAAAAGAAAATAAAAGAGAAAAGTCCTGGACTGAATATAAAATAATAACCATTCAATAGTCATTCTTTAGTGAGCTGTGCCGCATTGATCTCAAAGCAACTTCCACAGACGCTCAGGTTCAGCTCCAACTCAGAGTAATGTCACTAGCTTGCCTCTATATATACATATATATATATATATGATGTTATATATTATATATATACATTTATATATATTTGTTGGTGAATCACTTGCCTATATATTTGCTTCCTACCTCATTCATCTTTTGTGTTTTGCGATATGATTGGAGGCTTCTTTAGTTAGAACTACTGCATTATGCATTTGTATATTATCTCAATATTAATATAATATATATTGCAACTTGTACCCAAAAAAAAAAAAAAACAGAGAGAGAGCACACATAGAAACGTGTTAAACTTAATCTTGTTAACTTTGATAGTCATGATTAATTAAGAATTAAATGTGCTGACTCAGGTTCTCGACTAGAACTGTAAAAACATTTATCAATGATTAAGAAAAAAACTGTAAAATATTTAGAGGCAGCAAACATAGACAAAGTCTTACTGATATCATGAGCATATAATTAATATACCGTTTCTAAAATCTCACGGACGAGAACTCTACCCACTTCGATATTCCACAAAATTAAGTCGGGCCACTCAAAATCTAATCTCAAAATGTCCACTTTTAACATAGTTCATAAACCATGTTTTTCCGACACATATATATTCTCTCTTTTATATTAGTATAGATAGATACATAATATAAGATTCACAAGTTTTGAAATGTTCATAAAAAAAATAGAAAATAAAAAAGAAGTGTAGCCTGTACCGGTCCAGACCCGACAGTATAAACTTGCACCTCTAGTATGCTCTCATAGAGTTGTGATTGTAGGTTTTATGATCCAAACAACATCAGCCCCAAACACTACAACCTCATCAATCAAAAGCTTGAAGGTTTCGGTCCCATTCATTTCACTTATTTGAGTTTAGAATTTGAGTTTTGCAACAGTAAAAAGTAATCATATAAAATCACATCTCAACTCGAATTAAAAACTCAAATGAACGAACTAAACGGACCCTTAATAATTCAAGACTCGTTACGTGAAAAAAAAAAAAAAAAAAAAAAAAAAAACACACAATTTGTACAATTGCATCTCTCTATACCACATAAAATAAATACATAAGATACTGCATAAATAAAAAGGAAAACCATAAATATGTCTCCAAGCAAGTAATCACGTGTTTCACAAAGGTTAAAGTAAAAGAGATATTCCAAATGAAAAAAGAATAATCATATGGTCAAGCAAAGAAGCATGTGTTCTAGCAAGTAAGTATCTGATGCCATGCATTTATACACACATATCTCATCAACATGTAGTTTTTTTTTTTTTTTTTTTTTTTTTTTTTTTTTGCATTAATATTTCAGCTTCCTCTCTCGTTTTTTTCAGGATATATTTTCATATTAGAATTGGGAAAAAGTGTGAAACCAAATCTTCAGAGGTTGCACAAAAAAAAAAAAAAATGGTTAACCTTATCCCAATTCCCAGCAGCGTGAAGGAGACATGGGCGAGATGCAACCTGGAAGGCTCCATCCTGCTTAGCCTTTCCATCCAAGGCTTTCTCATTTTAGCCGCTCCGCTCCGAAAGCGAACCGCAAGACCTTTGGAAATCTTCCTCATCTGGGCGGCTTATTTGCTCGCCGACTTCATTGCTCTTTTCACTCTCGGACTCATCTCCAACAAACAAGAAGCAATCAATGGTCCCTTAAGTCACAGCTCCAAAACAACGTCTAGTAGTAGTACTACAGCCCTTACAACTAGCGGCGACATTAATGGCGATCTTGCTGCGCTCTGGGCGCCATTCTGTTTGCTCCATCTCGGCGGTCCCGACACCATTACCGCCTTCTCTCTGCAAGACAATGCTCTCTGGGTGAGGCACTTGGTCGGGCTCATAATCCAAGTTTTTGTTGTGGTTTACACCTTCATCCAATCCCTTCCGGCGAATAAGTTATGGCTTCCTATCTCTTTCATCTTAGCCGCCGGGATTATCAAGTACGCCGAGAGGACTCGAGCTCTTTACCTCGCGAACCTGGATTCTTTCCGGGGGTATCCGGGTCCCAACTATGCGAAGCTCATGCAGGAGTATTCTGCAAGGAGACAAGCCGGAATCCCGGCTAGAATCCACATGGTCCTTCAGCGCCGGGACGGGAAGTCCGTCCTGGAGAAGCGTCCAAGTACGAGTCAAGACAGTACTCTTTACGACGATGTCACGGTAGTGCAGCATGCTCATCACTTCTTTTTGACCTTCATGAACCTGATTGTGGATCAACTGGTACTACTCATCAGTGATCGCAACGAGAGTCGACACTACTTTCACGAAATATCAGCGGAACAAGCCATGAAAGTTTTATCCGTCGAGCTCAACTTCTTCTACGAAGTACTTTACACGAAGGCTGTTGTGGTGCATCGCAAGCTGGGATATTTCTGGAGGTGCGTGTCTTCGATCTCCATCTTTGTCGCTCTTTCGCTCTTCTTTGTAGCGGAGAAGCAGAGGTTCCGTAGTACCGATGTGAGGATCACCTACACTTTGTTCGGAGGTGCGATTGTTTTGGATGTCCTAGCTTTTTTCATGTTTGTTTTTTCTGATTGGACAGTCGTTTTACTCGATGAAAAAACTCCGCCTTCATTAAAGAACATATTCGAAAAATACCTTAAACTCAAGAGCTCGGAATTGTCTAATACTGAAACAAATGATCTCTTGGAGCGGGCTCGAAAAGCCGTGTTCGGAAGGTGGTCTGAAACTCTCTCTTTATACAACTTCATGGAATATTGCCTGAAAGAACTCCCGAACAAGAACGTTCCTAAGATAATTCGCTGCTGCCACACTTCCTACATCAAAGTGATCGATTTTTTCGGGCTCATGGAATTTCGAGAGAGGAGGAAATATGTCTCCAGAATTCAGGTGACTGCGGATTTGTGGAAATTCATCTTCAAAGAGCTACAAAGCGAATCCATGTTGACAGATGATACTGGAGTTTCGAAGATTATGTCGTTAAAAAAAGGCGACTGGATTCTCAGGTACGTCAAGGTTCCTTTTAGTGAATTGATCAATAATTACATAACCGAGGTCGATTACGATGGGAGCCTTCTGTTGTGGCACATTGCAACAGAACTCTGCTACAATGTTGATAAATTATGTGATCAAACAAATAACCGTCTCCGAGAAACTAGCAAGACGTTGTCGGAATACATGTTGAATCTTATCCGTGTGCAACCTACGCTGATGTCCTCCGTGGCGGGTATCGCGAAAATGCGTTTCGGAGATACTTTAGCCGAGGCGCACAGATTCTTCGCCGGTCGAATAGAAGGAGGATCGCTGGACTTTGAAGATGCCTGTACAAGACTTCTTAAGGTGGATACGGAGGATTATAAGCCTGCGACTGTGAAGGGGAAGAAGAGCAAGTCGGTGCTGTTCGATGCGTGTGTTCTGGCCAAAGAGCTGAGGAATATGGAGGAGAAAAATAGGTGGGAATTTGTGAGCAAAATATGGGTTGGATTGTTGTCGTACGCTGCTTGCCGGTGCAGACCAAGTCCACATCTCGATTTGCTCGGGAAAGGTGGAGAGCTTATTACGTATGTTTGGTTGTTGATGGCTCATTTTGGGGTAGGGAAGCAGTTGTATGTGACTGAGGACCATGCCACGGCAAAGTTGATTGTGGACATGTAAACAACATTGTCTGAAAAAGTTGTTAGCCAATCACAAGTTTTTTTCTTTTTTTCTTTTGTCTTTAACATTAATATAATGCACATGTAACATGAGTTCTTATATATTGTACTAGTACTACTTCATAAGTGTTGATGATCGGTTAACATTTGTTTGGTGACCGATTGAGGCTAGCTCAAGTGGTATTTAGTAAGTGTGTTTTACTTGCTTTTGATGTATTGAGTCACGCATCCAAGTTCCAAAAGATAATAATAATAATAATAATAATAAAGTACCAGTACGATGATCTATTTACTCGATGGCGATGGAGATATTGTTGAATTTCTGGAAGATTTTTGTCAACTTATACGCATTTATGCTTTGTTTCAATTGGTTTATGATGCTCATGTGAACAAGTATTTGCAATCGTTGTCGATATTTAAATATTGTATCTATTATCTAATTGCTTTTGGCATATATATGAGGTGTAGCAACTAACATTTAGATGTAGAGGTATAATACCATTTATAAATCTCTTATGAATTAAAATTCACTGTGCCTAATATATTAAAGTGATTCGGGAATTTGAACAATCCGATTGTGGTATTGGACGTTGGATTTTGATTGTTATTACTCGTATTCAGTAGTTCTTATGCTTATAATATAGTGGTAGTATTATTATGCAATTTTTCGTCACGAGGATGGTTGTGGGTGGGCAAGGGGCTGAAAGAAGATTTGGGTTACTCCATATTTGGGTCAATGGTTACGTGACACTAAAATTGAGCAAAAGATTTTGAGTTTTATATTCAAATAAAGGACGTCTCTTAACCGTCTTAACCGTGTGGTTTGTTATTACAAATTTTTTAATTAAAATATACATGGATACAGAGCATATAAAAATAGAAAGAATAATTAAGGTATTAGAAGTCCCTTAAGATCAAGAAATAATAAAAAAGATCCTAAAAAAAAAATTAAATTCCATTAAAAAAAACACTAAACAATGCCGCTGCTTAAGCATATAAAAATAGAAAGAATAATTAAGGTATTAGAAGTCCCTTAAGATCAAGAAATAATAAAAAAGATCCTAAAAAAAAATTAAATTCCATTAAAAAAAACACTAAACAATGCCGCTGCTTATCCTTAGGATGCAAAACGACAATTAATCGTTTTTGTTTGTTGGAACAACGAGATGTCGTTTAAAGTTGGGATATGTCATCCCCGCGCGCCATAAGTAACCGACTCACCGCGTTTGCTATCAATAATACTCTTTTCTTCTATTCTGTCCGGTCCTTATATCGTCGATCTCTGTTTCTTCTTCATCTTCTTCCGACTGCTTATCCTTAGGATGCAAAACGACAATTAATCGTTTTTGTTTGTTGGAACAACGAGATGTCGTTTAAAGTTGGGATATGTCATCCCCGCGCGCCATAAGTAACCGACTCACCGCGTTTGCTATCAATAATACTCTTTTCTTCTATTCTGTCCGGTCCTTATATCGTCGATCTCTGTTTCTTCTTCATCTTCTTCCGATCAAAGCCAACCATGAAACTCAGAGTGAGATCTTTCGATTCCAAAGAGATTCTGAGAATCGATATCACCAACGATTCATCTCTCCAACAGCTCAAAGAAGCCATTGCCCAAGCAATTCCATCCTCCTACCCTTCCTCTCTCCGCCTCTCCCTCAACCGGACCGACGAGCTCCGCTCCTCCTCCTCCGACGACTCCCTTCTCTCTCTGGGCATCGCCGCCGGCGACCTCATTTTCTACTCCGTCGAAACCCTAGCTTCGCAGGACCGCGAAACCCTAGGTAAGAGATTCTGAGAATCGATATCCCCAACGATTCATCTCTCCAACAGCTCAAAGAAGCCATTGCCCAAGCAATTCCATCCTCCTACCCTTCCTCTCTCCGCCTCTCCCTCAACCGGACCGACGAGCTCCGCTCCTCCTCCTCCGGCGACTCCCTTCTCTCTCTCGGCATCGCCGCCGGCGACCTCATTTTCTACTCCGTCGAAACCCTAGCTTCACGACTCCCTTCTCTCTCTGGGCATCGCCGCCGGCGACCTCATTTTCTACTCCGTCGAAACCCTAGCTTCGCAGGACCGCGAAACCCTAGGTGATCCGCCTCCGCCGGATTCTGCTCAGGTAATTAATCTCGATCCTCGTGTTGATTCTGAATTAATCGTTGAGGATTCTGGTGGAAAAAGTATGGAAATTGATGGTGATTGTGTCGATTTCGTGGGGGTCAAGTTTCCCGAGACCTGTTTTCTGAGGAGAGTGAGGAGGATGGTGAGCGAAGAGTTTGGGGAAGATGGTCGGAATCACAAGCTTATGGTGATTGCGGTTCATTCTGTGTTTTTGGAATCAGGTTTTGTTGAATTTGATGAATTTCATTTTCCTAATGAGTGGAGTCCTTCAATGGCTTTTACGATGTCTTTTCGCTATACACTGCCTGAAATTTTGGGTGATCAAGATTGCACTTTGAATTTGAGAGAATCAGTTGTTTTGAAGTATCAGATTCTAGGCCGTTTTGTGAATGTCCTTGGGGCTTTAACTAGTGGCGGTTCTGTAACTTACCGGGTGTGTTTAGATGAGAAAAAGTATGCACCGGCTATTGGTTCTCTGTGTGCTAAAGGTGATGAGTTTGAAAGAGAAGTTTATGGGTTGTGGAAGGTTGTGAGGGATGGGCTTGGATTGCCTCTGTTAATCGATCTTTGCGCAAAGGCGGGATTGCCCTCTCCCCCGTGTTTTATGCGGCTTCCGTCGGAGCTTCAGATGAAGATATTGGAGTTCCTTCCCGGTGCTGATATCGCAAAAGTCGGGTGCGTCTGTAAGGAATTGCAGTACTTGTCCTGCAATAATGATTTGTGGAGGAGGAAGTTTGTTGAGGAGTTTGAAATGGGGATGGTGGGATCACAAGCGGTTAGCCATTGGAAGACGGCATTTGCCAATTCAGCATATTGGCAGAGGAAGAGAAAGGAGGAGGAGGCTGCGGCTATAGGGCGGAGACGGTTGCCCCATTATGGTTGGCCCATGTTCGGTCCCATAAGAAGGGACCCTAATCCATTGGAAGTGCCGTGGATAATTGGTGGAGATTATGACCGTTTTGTCCCTCCTTTCGGACGACCAGGTCGACTTCCTCTGTTTCGGAGGACCTTTTCACCCCATTGCAATTTGGGAGGATTTAGTGGTAGTGGCTAATCAGGTTAAACTTTATAGCAGTGGAGTTGTTCTGAATCTTAGTTGCTTTTCGTTTTGTGTTTTTTTTTTTATATCTACGCGTCTAAATTTAATTAATCTTCCAATGGAAGATTTTTGCCAAGCATAGGTTATATACTCTGTTTTTTATCGGTTTTTAATACTCATGTAAATAAGTTGCAAACTTGCAATCGCTTATGATGTACATCTTTTTCAATCGCAAAGCAAAGCTTTAATATAATAGTACCGTTTTTTAGCTCTCTTGTGATTTGTAAGTTAAGATTTCTCTGTGCCAATTTAGATAAAATGCTTCAGGATTTTGAACAAACTGGCTATGGTATTTTACGTTGAATTTTATTGTTAGTACTCCTAAGTGGTGGTTCTTATGCAATGGCATTGGCGTATTTTTTACGGGGTGATCAATTGTGATCAGATGTATTTTTGAATTTTGCTTCCATATTATGCATTTCCTACCTATTCGCTCAACTTCAACTCCTATTACCAAAGATTTTCTTTCTTTCCTTTTCTTTTTTGGTAGAAATCAGACTTTGTTTTTTTTTTTTTTTATTATTTTGTTTTTGCATGTTGTGTTCCAATTTTAACCCGACAGTGTAATTTTTGCTAATCAACACGACAATGTATTTAGAAATAAACAATGGCGCTCGTTCATCCTTCCCTTATCCATAAAACGACGATTGTTCCTTTGCGTTTGTGGAAAACGATACGTTGTTTATTTTAAACGACATCAAACTTAACATTCTGAAAACGACAGCAAAAGTTTAAAATACCTTACTATTGGTAGAAAGAAAAATCAAAATTTCCAAATCCTACGAATACCAATAAATAATTTCATCATTAACATACATAAAAAAAGCTTTTCTTTTTTTGGCATGTAGCATCACAAGGAGACTTCTCCTTCTTTTTGACACATGTCATCATTTCCATTTTTTCGTTTTGTTTGCTTATTTTTGTAACATCTTGATGATCCCCTACTCAATTTTTTTTTTCCTAAATATGACCCATACAAATATTATTTTTCTAATTGTTTTATTGATATAAAATCTTCTCAAATTTGTTCCTACCTAAATATTTTTTCTTTATAACCCTCTCAAATACTATTTTTTCTGATATACCCCATAAACAATTCTCTCTCTAACATCCTCCACTAAAAATTTTGTTTTCCTTTTAACTATACTTACTTAAATTTTTTATTTTTTATTTACTAAACTAAATTCTTGTAAAGATAATAAGCCAATGAAAAAATAAAATTTTTAAATCTTTTTATCTAAAAAAATATAACATTCTACATGCTCAACTAGTAGTAAAAATAAAAAAGTGTCGAATATCTTTTCCCAAAATAATTAAAATAGATAGAAATTCATGTGATTCCACTACTGCAGTGAAAACATAGAGCCCGTTTAGTAATGTTTTCAAAATGATTTTGTTTTCGATACAAAAATGAAAATGAGATTGTTTTGAAAATTATTCTGAAACTGATTTTAAAATTACGTTTGGTGATCTTTCATGAGATTGGTTTGAGTATAATAAAAAAGTGAAATCATGTTTGGTTATATTTATGTTTTTTTAGTACATGTAATTAATAATCTTAAATTAATATATTAAGTAATGAATAATTGAAAATTATTTAGCAAATAAAAATTAATACATTATTAATAATATAATACTAGATAAATTATCATTAATGAGTACCTTAGTAATTAAACTATATATATAATAACTTAATATGCTAAGTAATTAATTATAAGTATTTATAATTTATTATATTCTGTTTACTACTTAAATTATTAACCTTTAGTTACATAATTAATTAATTAGTTAATTAATTACTAATGTTTATTTAATAATCTATTATTTGATATATCACATGATCAATTATTGGTAATTATTCTTTTTATAATGATTAATTACTAATTATCAATTATCAATTATTATTGATTAGTATATTACTTATTGATAATTATAATTTAATATTAATTATTAATTAAGTAATTACTATTTATTTTTTATTTACCAACTATTTACTAATTAATAGATTATAATTACATAATATCTTATTGACATATTAATTATTTATTATTTATTTAATAACCTATTATTACTAGTAATTACTATCTATTTATTAGTTATTAAGTATATATATTTATTAATTATTAATTAATGTAATATATAATTAATAATTAATAATTAATTATTTAATATAACATTGTTAATAAATACTAAAAAATAAGAACTAAAAAAGAAAAATAACTTTCAATTATTATTTTTTTTTTTACAAAAATTATTCTCATTATTTATTTATTTTTTTATTTTAAAATTTTTATTAGAAAAACGTAATTTATAAACTATTTATATTTTTATATCTCAAAAAATACGCAAAAACACTTTCAAAAATAACTAAAAAACAATTATAAACACAGCCAGGCATAGTTTCCAATTTTACTATTTTTTGCCTAATACCGTAATAAGTGTCCCTTAGCCCAGGTAGTCCCCGCGGGAAACAGTAAAACGTAAATCCGGCGCTGGACGGCATGGCACAGTAGCTTCAGCATTCAGTTCTGGGCAATTCCGCCGTTTACTCCCTTCAACAACCGCCGCCAAATCTCTCTCTCTCGCCGCCGTGAGTCACCGCCATGTCGTTTTCGGCCGTGACTCTCTCTCGCACTCGCTTGTTACCTCGACGAGTATTCGAATTTCCTTCTCTCAATCTCTATTCTGCACAAAAATCGACGCTGAAATTCGCATCTTTCGAAACTCATCATCGCCTTCAAGCCTCTAGACGAGTCATCAATTTTCCTCAGGTTTTTCTCTTTCCTATGTTGGTAGCTTCTCTGGTGGAATTCTCTCTATATATTTCGTGGAAGTTTTGATTTTGATTCAGGAGAATGGTCATCTTGCGGATGATCCGCGCAATTGGAGCCGTTCGATTGAGTTCGGTAGACGCGATGACGGTGAAGATGACGATGAGGAAGACGATGGTGAAGATGAAGAAGAAGATAGGAGTCTTGATCTGTTGATCAAGTTTGTTCAGAATGTCTTCAAGAAAGTCTCGAGGCGAGCTCGGCGTGCTGTGCGATCAGTTCTTCCTATTGGTATCCCTACGAAATTGGTACAAGAAAATGAGTGAAAAAAGATTTTATTTTCTTTTGTGTTAATTATTTGCTTCTTGACTAGTTTTTCGTGTTTGAATTAGATTGGGTTTTCGGTCAATGGAGTGCTAATCCTGGCATTTTTGTGGGTTCTGAAGGCGTTTCTTGAGGTAAATGAATCAATTCCCTTGTTACCGATATGATTTTCAAAATAATCATTTTCATGTGATCTCCATTTGGATTTATATATAGTACAATTTGGGAAAACTGGGTTAGAAGCTAGTTTGTATATTGATGATGAAACCAAAAAATGGATTGAGAATAAATGTGTATAGAACTATGAGAAGATAGCAATTAGACGGTGCTAGTGGTGACGAAATTACAGTATCTATCAGTGTGTGGAAAACTACTCAGAAGGCTTCTAACTGTACATGATTCTTGAGATAAAGGTTCCTCCAAGCCTTAAGTCTTAAAATTGCCATCAGGAGTTGGCCCCAGAAACCCAGAATCCTCGGATTGAAGCGTAATGAGCTTCAACATGCTTAATGTGTGTGTCTTTTTTATAAATAATAATTCCTATCCCTATAGGCAAAAGTGTAAAACAATAGCTAATTTGATGAAGGATTGAGTTGAGAAATAGGAAGGTTGATACTTGAGTTTCATTAATTAATCACAAATTCTCAGAGGACTGCATAAAGATGCTTCTTGAATCATTCTTACTCTACAACGAGAATGATTCTTAGTTTTGAAATTTATTATTGATGCATATGATTCTAACTTTAAATCCAAGAAAAAACGACTTGGATTTAGTGGAGCTTTGAAAATGCAAGTAGGATCTAGTCTAAATGCAACTTTCTACATGTTTGTATATATTGTAGGTGGTTTGCACCCTTGGTAGCATAGTGTTTGTGAGCATCTTACTCATCCGTGGAGTCTGGACTGGGGTCATCTATTTACAAGAAAACCGCAGCATGAAGGTAAACGAATTTGAAGATGAGAACAATGTATGGAATGGTGCGCAGCCTGCAACTTAACAATTGCCATGGCTGCTTCTGGGAGAGGCTCCATCTTGTAGATTAACCGAAAAGTAATAAACTCCCCACAAGGAGGAGGCCTTATGAATCGGAGTATTTGAGAAAAGATGGCTTCGGGATGTTTCTTGGTCTTGAAAACATTGTTCTTGAGCTTTCATTGAATCGTGAATTCGACCGTGGCTTACCTTCCTGAAGATCTGTAACAAGTTACATTTTTTATCATGTTATAATTGTAGAGTACTTAGTTCAAAAGCAGGAAAGTAAATCATGTTGTGTGGTTGCTAAATCAACCTTTTTGTATCATCACATATCAGAACCAGAGTGTATTGTTGACATGATTTTGCCACCTCATAATTCCTTTTGTCTTTATGACTTATCTCCAGTTAGTTCAATGCCCTTTGGCAATTGTTTTGTTCTTACTACATACGCTAAAGAGGGAACCAAACCTTCTTTATGAGTTGGCAAAATTTTTTGCCTCTATATCTATCAAAATTCCAATAGATGATAAAATAACATGTCTGAATATTTGTTGAGAAATGTACGACCATATGTATACGACCCTCATCGGTGCATCTTGATCGATTGGATGGTTCCATTGTAGACTCTGACGTGAAGCTTTGTAAATGTCTTTTCCGGGTATTCCTTTAGCATTTTCGTCGAAGAGGGAGAGTTCCTCTAGTCTGCATGCAATATTTTACACCATAATTCCCTTAAAAAAAAATTACACACCATAATTAGGCCCCCGTGACAATATGATACTTGCAGTTTTAGTCAATTGTCACCCTATAACTAAATAAACAGCAAAATTAGTAAAACGCATTTTAATACTATACTTTTACTACACATTCTTCAGCAAATATTTTAACATGCTTTCAATATGCATTAAATTAAACTCCTGTTTATTAGTAATTAGTGTCTTCCTTCAAAAAAAAAAAAAAAAGGAAAGAAAAAGTAATTAGAGTCTATTTTTTTCTACCCCTATAATTAAGCAAGCGCCATTCTCACTATAAGATTTTAACATGTTCTGCTAAACGCACTCTTCACAGATGTGTTCTTCGCGCAAATCTTCTTCCTTTTAACCATATGTGGTTCATTCAGTATATTTTCAATCACATTAGTCAGATTTGAATTGCTCTCATCACATTATTTGATGTTGGACATTTCCCAAATATATATATATATACATACATATATATATATATATATATATATATTTTTATAGTGTCAGCTGATGATTCATTAATTTTGTTGAGTAGCACAAGTGGAAACAGATATGAAGAGGCCAGCAAACCTTATTTTATTTGAAGTTTTGTATACGAAGATGGCATTCTTTCTTCGTTAATTTTTTTTCCTGTTTGTCCAAGCTTTTTGTTATTTTTCACTTGACAGCTTTTAAAGTACTACTTTTTTTTTTCTCTCTCTCGAATATGAATCACTCCTAATGACGTTTAACCCACTATGTTCTGGGTACGAAATTAAATCGGCTAAAAATAATATATTTCCCTTTTTTCTTTTCTTTGCCTAAACAAATACGTAAAGTTTTGAAACAACAACAATGAATCAAGTGTTACCAAAAAAGCAAAAAAGCTATTTGTATTTTAATTTATGCCCTCTTGGGCACCCAAAACAAAAAAAAACAAAAAACAAAAAAAAAAAAGTATGCCCTCTTCGTTTGTGTGTTTATACCTATTGATATATGTATATCAAATTTATCCATTATGGATTTTCTTTTTCCAAAATAGGATTACATAAATACAAAATACATTGTTTATTGATGTCCACTGTATCGTATTCAAATGTAATGTTGTACTTTTTTGTTCTCATCGCATCATTATTTAAGTTTGAAAAATTGTCTTGATCAAAGTCTCTTGTATTATATTTATATTTATGTATCCTTTAATAATCAACAAAATAATAAAACAATTTTTTATTTAAATTTTCGCGTCATTTTAACAGATTATCTACAAAAGAGAAACAATATTGGTGGACATGCAGTATATGCACTTCCGTGAGGGGAGGAAATGGAATAGACCATTAATTATTAAACCAACGACATTGGACCGACTTAAATTCGTTGGAAAAGAAAATGAAGTTTCTTTTTTTGAAAAACCGGAGAATTTACTTATTAGTGTAATTATTTGGCTAAAAATGTTATGAATTAAGAAATAAAAATTCTGATTCATACACTTCAAAGAGTATTTGTCAAGATTACACATTTTTTTAAAAAAAAAATAAGATGACAAACGTAAGAAAAACTAAATCACCTTTTAGGAATTCGATCAGTCCTAGAAAACACCATTTGACAATAAATACTAATGAACGATCCCAATGACGTTTGATTTCTTATTTTCAGATTCCTTGACAAATCCAGATGTATGCCATTTTGCCAATAAGATAAAAATAACAAAACAATAAATCAATTTCTTCTAAAATACCTTTTGCAAAAAAAAAAAAAAAAAAAAAAAACTCTCCCCTTTTTTTCTCCTAAGCAAAACGTCACGTGTAAAAGGTGATGATATAATTTCTCCGGAAAACGAAAACTTTGCAACGTAGTCAGGAAAAATTTTATTTACCCTTTTAGTATTTAAGTCCGTCAAAGTCCTTATAATCTCATTAAACACGCAATGCAATTTCTTCTGATATTATTGCCTTCCATGTCTCCTTTTGAATAGGTAAATAAAAAAAAGTGCCTAAAAACTCTTCCTTTTTTACGTTCCAAAAATCTGTTACTCTTGCATCATATAACTAAATTACACATGATTTCTTAGAAGTGGACAATGTAAACTAACATCCTAAGATCCTATATTAACTTCCGCAAAACTCGTGGATTGCGCAAGCCAAGTTGTGAAATCTGAACCAACTCCGTCTATAAGTACTCATTTATTCATACATTAGTGCAAATTATACTCAACTCTCTCTCTCTTCAGTCAAAGAATATAGAGATCAAACACATCATATCAGTAGTGAAACAATGATGGAGTTTCAGAGGCCTGCGAACTTCGCCGTCGAGACCGTCGAAACCAATGACAAGACTATGTTCGACGATGATGGTCGTGAAAAAAGAACCGGTATGTGTTTTCTCTCATTTCCATTTTGTTTTTTTGTTTTTTTTTGTTTTTTTTTCATGGTTTTTTTTTGTTTTTTTTTTCTGAAAGGAACTTTGGTGACTGCAAGTGCACATATTATAACGGCTGTTATTGGGTCCGGAGTGCTTTCTCTGGCGTGGGCAATTGCTCAGTTGGGATGGATTGCTGGTGTCACGGCTCTCATATTATTCTCTATGATAACTTTGTACACTTCTTCTCTACTCACCAATTTTTATAGATTTCCTGAACCAAATAGTGGGAAAAGAAACTACACTTACATGCAAGCCGTGGAGAGCTACTTGGGTAATTTAATTTTATTTAGTCACAATATCACAAACCCATTTTCTCATTTATTTTTCCCCTTCTTTGCTGTTTTTGATTCTGTTGTTTATAAGAGCGTTTGGTTTTTTCACAAATTCCAAATGGTCTATCTTTGTTTTCTATCCCTTTTTTTTTAATATCACAAAATTGTAATGTTGCCTTTTCATCTCTTCAGGAGGATTCAAGTACAAGTTGTGTGGGGTATTTCAATATGGGAATCTTGTAGGAACATCTATTGGATATACAATCACAACGGCTTTAAGTGTTGGGTATAAATATTTATGTTTGCCATTATTATTCAGACATGATGAGTACTAATTGGGTTTTTTTTTTTCCCCTCCTTTTGTGGAACCAATTATTATTGAAAATATTCAAATGACCCTTTTGGCGTTTGGTAGTCGATTATAACGTAACTACTCTTAAACCAGGGCTATAATACAATCAAATTGCCACCACAAACATGGGAAAGCGGCAAAATGTTCGGCATCAACCGAGCTCAGCATAGTCATCTTCGGGATTCTACAGATCTTGTTGAGTCAAATTCCTAACTTCCACAAGCTATCAGGGCTCTCAATACTTGCCGCCGCCATGTCGTTTACTTATTCCATCATCGGCGTGTGTCTCGCCATCACCAAGATAGCAACAGGTTAGTTGTGACAAATAACATTGGTGTAGAAAACCTCAAGCTTTTGAAGTTGATCATAATTTAAAGATGTGAAAAAGAATTACAATTTCTAAATGTGCTTGAGTTTTGTTGTGTTTGATAATGAAGGAGAGGCCAATCCCAAAACAAGCCTGACTGGAGTGGAAGTTGGAGTGGATGTGACAAGCCAACAGAAGATTTGGCGCAGCTTCCAAGCTCTTGGCAATATTGCCTTTGCCTATGCTTACTCTCAAGTTCTTATTGACATTCAGGCAAGCATTATTCTTTATGGCCTACTTCTAGTAATCTTTTTTTTTTTTCCATTTAATATCTGGTTTTTGATGCAAGATTCTATAATTGTGTTTATAACCCTTTTGTTCTTATTCTTATATTTTGCAGGACACTCTAAAATCAAGCCCACCGGAGAACGTAGTAATGAAGAAGGCCACTGCAGTTGGGGTCTTTGTGACAACTGCATTTTACATGTTGTGTGGAATACTAGGTTACATCGCGTTCGGGAATGATGCGCCAGGCAATTTTCTAGCAGGGTTCGGTTACTTTGAACCGGCCTGGATTGTCGACTTTGCTAATGCGTGCATTGTTGTTCATTTGCTTGGAGCTTACCAGGTAGATTCACTCTCAAACAAGATAGTACATCACAGAAATTCTGTCTTTTCTCCTTAACCGAGCGCTTGTTTGGATGATCCGCAGGTCTTTGCTCAACCAGTCTATAGGAAAATGGAGGACTGGAGTAAAGAGAAGTGGCCAGAAAGCGACTTTGTAGTGAAAGAATATAGCATTGGAATTCCATGTTTGGGCACTTGCAACTTCAATGGCTTCAGAGCCGTGTGGAGAACTTTGTATGTGATATTAACATGTACATTGGCAATCATATTGCCTTTCTTCAATGACATTTTGGGTCTACTTGGGGCCTTTGTCTTTTGGCCATTGACTGTGTATTTTCCGCTAGAAATGCACATTGCACAGAACAAGATTCCGAAGTACTCTCGCAGATGGGTGGGGCTCAATCTATTGAGCGGATCTTGCTTGATCGTTTCTCTTCTCGCCGCCGGTGGATCCATTCAAGGCATCATTACAGCGCTCAAGACATACAGGCCTTTCAAGTCCGTGGCCTAAGTCTTGATTTGATTTGATTTTTATCTTAGAGAAGGTTCACTGAAGTGTTCATGTCGTTGGTCATTGTTCAATATTCGCCTTGTTTATTAGCTGTACGTCATGATTGGCTGTCTTTGCTTTCATATGAGAATATTATTACTGGAATGTAGTTTGTTCATAAATTTGAAGCAGTTGAAATATTTTATAACAAGATTTTCTAATCCAAATATTTGTTTCCTAAACATTTATATTCCTTTATAATATAAAATTAAAATGTGCATGTATAATAGAAAGATATGTCAGCTCTTTTATACCAACAATGCGGGATTCATCTTGATTTTGGAACTCAAGTTGGCAAATAACAGATGTTGATTTGGCAAATAACAGATGTTGATTTTACATTGAGGCTCTCATTCGAGAATCAACTGCTCTTGTACTGTAATTCATCAAAAAGTATAATTTTCGTTTTACTGTGTACAAACTTTATAATTGATGTTTTATAGTGTTTTAATTGAAAAAGATTCAAGCGCTTTTTTTCAGTTTTAAAAATAGTCATAGTTACTCTATGTTTATAGAAATGTTACACTATCTGTTAGGTCCGTTTTTCGGTCGGTGTCACAGAGAGTGTTATAACACTTTTTAGTAACACTTTTTGTGACAGATAATCTAAAATTAAACCAGCAAAACAATAGAGCAAGAAACTAATGCAGAAACGTAAAGGACACTAGAAAATAGTATCGCAGTTCGGTGCGCACACCTACTCTGCGGGGCCACACCCAGACAATGATCAATCCACTAAGTTCAAAAGATTACAAAGGACCGAACGGTCTTACACACTCAACGACTCCCTCCTTTGACGATGTCGCCGTTGCCTAGAATCTCCTTAGAAAGCTTGATCAACGAGCACCACTCGACTTGACGGTTTCCTCCCGAAACCAAAGAAATCTTCTCCCGAAGAACCAACTCGAAAGTGTTCTAACAATTCGTCACGACACATCAAGCGACACTTAACATTACAATCTCATTTTCACATGAACAATTGCTAGTTTTCTGTATACAGCACATATTTTTCATCTCACGTTCTTCACCACATCAAAACCCTCATGCCACTGTATATATCATCACAGAATCACACCCCTCAATCATCCACGATAAGCACATCCAATCATGGTAATATCTCCTCCATTAACACCACAAATCAGGTCACCAGCCCCAATGACAGTAAGAAGACAATCATTCCCAATATTTCTCACGATTCTTTCCTTAGAAGACCCAGCCATAATGCTCTAGAAAGTTCACTATTGATTTTCAGCAATCAAGATCTTTGATTTACAGCCAATAAACATGACAACCAAACTTTCCTTAAGATGACTACCAATTTACAATGCCAACCAATCTTACAACCAATTTGCTAAAAATAAGCCAACACAAAAAATGCACTAACACTATCATTTATGTCTTACAAATAGTGTTAGAACCTTCCCGATAAATTGTGTTAAAAACCCCCTAAATAAGGTTTTCAAAAAATCTGTAAAAAGTATGGATTAAGTACATTTTTAAATAAAAATATAGAATCTAATGTTTCTATAAAATACAAAAGAAGTTTCTAAAGATCCATCTCCAAAGTCACAACTTCAAATTAAAAGATTCAAATCTTACTTTTTTTCATTATCACATTTAGGTTGAAGCACTTTTTTTTTTTGGACAATAAGATAGTAAAATTTGCAGTAAAATGACGATATAAATGGCAAAATGATGTCATTCACTCGTCATTCTTTGCCTAAACAGAACAATATAGAATAAAAATCCATCTCGTCTATTAAAAACTAGAAAATTTTTAAGCTAGAGAATTATGAATGGGACCAAGCACAAAACTTCGAAAAAAATCAAACCATCAAACTTTCCGACACACTAAGCGAAAGCAAACTTAACGACACGTCGCTTTGAAAATTAAACCTTCAAACTTTACGACACGCCATTTTAATACTTCAGCGTCAAAAACCTTGTACTCCTCTCTGTCTCTAGTTACTTGCGGGCGCCATATGTTTTCTTAATTTTGTGAACCATTCATTAGAATAAGATTCAACACTCTCCATGCTTGTTAGCAAAAACGACATTGCAAGTGCGTCTAGAGAATGGTTAAAAAAACAATATACACGTACACAGCACTGATGCTTGATATAACATCAGTTTAGATTTGTACAGAAAAAGAATAAACAAGAGTCGAGAAAAGTAGTCAATAAAATCTGTAGTTGGATTTTTCCATTTTTCTTTTGCTGACCATATGTGCATTTCTTTGGCCATTGTACTTACAAGTACACAAATCTAAAATATGCTTAACCCTGAACAACTGTCTTCAATTTATACGTGGTGCTATTTGTGAAATCCTTTCCTCTTCCAGAAGCGCATACGGATCGATGTACGGGGGTGGCGAGATTGGCATTTTGCTTGCATCATGCACAAAAGCTGGTCCAAAGTACTGCCCAAGAAGAGAGAAGAATCAAAAAAAGTAGTTCCCAAGTTTTGAAGCTACAACAAACTCACATCAAGTGTAGAGAATCTCCATATCATGAGAAAAAGTCGACCGGCTCCAATGGTGATGGGCACCGCACCTTATAAGAGTGAGACGTGTGAGGGAAGATCCGCACATAGGCCCAAATTCTATTTATTGTGCTGCCCAACACTACTGGAGCTTAATAACATCGCTCCCTTACTATGATTAGAAATAATAGAAATAGACTCTTATAATTTCTCTTCAGATGCTGTTATTTCCAAATATGTACAGCAGCTATCAAGTCTCTATTTCTTCTTATCTGCTCAATTGCTGTCATGGTGCCCTATCTCGAACTAAGGATGACTAATTGTCATGAATCCTAAAATTCCCAAGAAACACACCTCATAATAATGTCAAGACTTTTGCTATGCCCTGTTTATATCTACCGTGTGCACTGTATTGCATTTACCAAATAACTACATAACATCCAAGATAACATGTGTGTGAGTCAGACAAAGAAAGAATAACGCAGCAAATTGAAAAGATGTCTAGGCCGTTAAAGAACTAAGAGAGAAAGAAAGCTTACAAAATAAAGGGCAGAGAAGAATGCAACTGTTATGAGGATCAACGGCCAGAACCCCAAGAAAAATGTTCCTCCAATTGTTAGCAACAGTCTGGCCCGAGGGATTAACCCCTGAAACAGATGAAAGTTTTACATCCTATTTCCTTCAACTCTTTTACGAGTGAACAAGCACAGCAGTTGTTTCTTTATAGAATAAAATACCGCAACAAATTGTGATCAATTTCAGTGCAAGAACTTTGGTAGCAGACTAGTAAATTGAGTGCAGAAGAATGATAATATGTCAAGACCACATAATATATCATGAAGATCATCAACAACTAATGACCTAAAGTCATGACTTTCCATGAGATCAAAAGCTACAAATAAATGGAAATGGGTTGAACCTCAAGGCCTTCGCTGTTCAACTTCATGGAGCGCTCCCTTTGATCAGAGAGGCTTTTCTCAACTTCAGTTGAGACTGCATTTCTCTGCGAAAAAGCTCTTCCTTCTTTCCTTGTCGTCTCATCGTTAAGTCCATAATCACTCGTATTGGTGTCCTCACGCAACGAAGTGGGTGTCATACCCCTCCTCCTCAGTTCCTTCATGAACAATGATTCTGGAGGTTCTTCACCTGAATTCACATTTGCAAGGCCTCCATCAACATTTTATCAAGAAAAGCAAATAACCCACTAAATCAAATAGTCTAAAATTTGGAGAATTCTGTAGTAAGGTAATAAAAAAAAATAATAATAATACTAGAATAGAGTTAAAGAGCTATTAGATCTTCATCAAGTTTCGTTAACTTTTCATACTTTTACTAATCTGACATGATTCTGAACAGTAAGAACTGTGTCCTGTCAATGAGCTCTTTTTTTTTTTTTATCTGCACAAGAAGAAGCTTTTGCAAAATAATACCTCAAAAAATGCGTAAAGAGTGTTAATAACTTGCAAACTAAGCTCTATGGCTTAATCACTATTGTCAGGTACTTATGAATTTTAGATCCCTTGTGAATTGGCTATGAATTGTACAGTATTTTATTTTTCATACTTCACAGTTTACACGAACATAATCTGTCAAAAACACACATGCAAGACCATTTTCAAAATGAAATCTTCTTTAATGCAAACAAATCAAGCAAGCACTCTCTACTTTTCCACACAAATTTCCATCCAGGTCTCTCAGTAACCAAACAAAAGTCGCTTCCTCTATGCCAGTAACTAACAAAGCATGAATCTTTAATCAAACCAGAAAATAACATAAACAAAAAACGCCAACGAATTACATAAAACAAAAGAAAAAATCTCAAAAAAAAAAAAAAGAGAAAAAACTCTTAATGCTTACCATTGCTTTCTTTTTCGGGGTCTTGAGCGGCACAGAAAAGCCTCAATCTCTTGTTCGTGTAGTTTCGTGAACCGCCAGAGCTTCCGAACCTGACAACTCTTTTTCTCAAAGAGGATTCCGAGAAAAACCACCTTGGATTCCCGGGAAAATTTGGTCGGGAAACAGAAACTGGAGATGGATTGTATTTCAAGAATTGTACTGACGCCATTTGGTTTTCCGCATCAATTAAAAAAATGCAATTTCTCTCATTTCAATGCCAAAAACAATGATTAAAAAACTAAGAAAAGAACGCTGTTTTTTCTTCTTTTTGTTTTCGTTTTTATTTTCCTTTTTTGAGAGCGAAAGCTTGTTCGAGAGGAGGGCAATGAGAGGAGCACAAGCAAGCGGTGAGGAGGACGAGGGGCGCATTTTAGTGTAGAAGAGGGTTCAGTGACTAAAATGCGCATAATTAATTGTGACGTGGCGTGTTTCGAGGCGTTGATTAGTTTTGTGGCTAGAAGTTACGTGTATACTACTCTCCCTTGAGTCTCACTCTCACCCCCACAAAAAGAAAATTAACTGAAAATTTTAGGGGAGGGAAAAAAAAAAAAAAAAAAGGCGTTGAGAGGAATTATATGGATAGATAAATGGATACTCCTATTTTGGATTTTTTTTAGCAACAAAAATTCAAAATAAATTCGTATATATTTAATTTAATGAGAGATAGTCATGTAATTATTTAACATGATTAAACTTTTTTAATTCCACTTGTAAATTATGAAGATGAAGCTTTGAAAGATGGATATATTATTATTATTATTTAAAGGTACAAGTGGGAGAGAAGATATATAATGTTAGGAAATTATCTAATACCGTCTGATATACTGATAGATTAAGTTTTTCTAATTGTTAAATTTATGTATTTTTAAAATTTTACGTGACTTTATATAAATTTAGCGAACAAAAAACTTGACGTACCGGAGAAAATCCTATAATGTTTGTTTTGGTGTATATCTACATACATGTGGGAAGTATGAGTAGAGAAAGATTTTGTGAAAATGGCGAGTCAGTCGTGCCCCTCATGCGCATAAACTACAAGGGAAGTAGCGGATGTTGACTGATATCAGTCCTCTTGGACATTTCTGCTCACATGACTTCTTTTGCAATTATATATTATAATTTGATGTGGCTCACAAATTTGTGTATATTTACGAAAATGCCAAAAGGGTTTTTATTGCTTCGCCAAAAATGTACACCGGAGTCCAAAGATGAGAAGAAATTTTTAGAACGCATACCAGGTAGCCATTTAAGCTTGGATTTTGCATGCATGCGTAAAAAAAACACACCTATGTGCGTGTTAAATTCATTATTAATAATTAGCCATGACAAATTACAATTTGCTTATCAAATTTTGGAAGTTAAGATTTGGAGTTTGAATAGGCACGCCACAGCTTTTAGAAATCCATTTCAAGTAACATGTTATTTATCCATTTTTGTGTAATATGACATGGGATTGGGAGAAAAGTATACATGTTTTTAGGTCTTGCGTATACGCCACGAGGCTGTCAAAATCATATAAGGATCATATTCGGACTCAACACCATTGATGTGCTGGGCTTTTTCTGTTATACGGCTTCCACGTGCCTTGCACGTGCAGAAAATGTATGACACAACCACTCCTTGTCTTTAAGAAACAAATTAATTAACAAATCTCATGTGAAACTAATCTCTCTTTTTCTTTCTTGATATTTGATAATGAGCAACTGCATGGAATAATTCTCACACATTAACATGAGAAGGAAAAAATAGCCCTCATAGGGTCCCACTAGCTTTTGTCTTTTTCTTTGTTGCTGTCATAGTTGATTGAAGTGGCACAAAGAGAGAAATGAAATGATGCTAATCAATGGTCTTTACCTGGATTGATTGGAATGCCAATGGAGTTGAGATTGTTGTAGTGACATCTGAGACCACCAATACAGAATCTCCCTCTTTCACCAACCCTTTTGATTTTACAAGACTGATGGTAACTTTGATATTAGCTTCCACATCATCTAATAAATCAACAAGCAAGGGAGTAACTCCCCACTGCAGGTTCAAAGCCATACGGGTGCTCTCGTCGTCCGTGAAGGCGAATATGGGCGGGTTCGGGCGGTTTCTTGACAATAACGATGCCATATGTCCATGATTTGTGAACACAAAGATCGCATCCACAGCAAGGTTGTTGGCTGCAAAAGGAGCAATCAGTTATTAATTGTTGCTCGATGCAAAAGAAGTAATTTTTTTAAACTAAATGACATTAATAGACAAATATGTTTAAGAAGGTAATCCAAATTGTTTAAATGTTGTTTCAACTACCAATTTCCACAGCAGAATTGCATATCTGCTCAGCAATGCGATCAGGCAACGAGACTCCGAGCTGGCGCTGCTCGAGAAAACTCTGCTGGTTTTCCTCGCGACTCCATGATTCCATTCGGCTGCTGGCCATCTGCAAGACAGCAAGGGCCTTGTGGCCGTACAGTCCAATGGCAGATTCGGCAGACAACATTAAGGCATCGGCATACTGTCTTACAGCTTCGGAAACATCTGCAACCTTGTCCAACCAAAACAGATAATTATTTACTTACTGAAATGCTTTTTGTCTATCTAGACAATGGAAATTATGTCAAGCTCTAGTGATGTAGGCCATGGTTGATACCTCAGCACGTGTTGGTGTCGGGTATTCCACCATTGACTCGAGAAGCTGAGAAGCTACAATTACTGGCTTGTTTAGTTGCCTGCAGACATAGACTATTTCCCCTTGGACTGTGGGAATCTTTTCAAGGGGGATCTCAACTCCAAGGTCACCCCGAGCTACCATGATCCCATCAGAAGCCTCGACAATTTCTTCCAGTTTCTGAAGGGATTCCAAGCTCTCAATTTTCGCCAACACTCTTATGGGTCTGTAAACAAAATAACATTCTCACACCAAAGCAAATAGGGGATATCCAACAGAAGAAAATATGTGCAAAATTTATATACAACAATCTTACCTGGATGATTTGGTGGATATGTAGTTCTTTAAATTCCTGATGGAGTCAGCGTCATTTACAAAAGACATGGCAACAAAATCGATTCCTTCAGAAATGCCAAACTCGATATCGGCCCAATCCTTTAATTCAGAAAACAACCTATGAACACAAAATGGTACAAAATCTATGTATAAACATGCACACACACACACACACATGAGCCTTTTATCTTAAGAATTCTACATATTCTTATCCAGCAAATGCATATCAAAAGAACCAAGTTGACATAGCCATTTGGATCCAAAAATGGTGCAAATGAAAGTACATTGTGCGTTTCTATAGAGCTAAGAAAATATAAAAACTCAAGAAAAGGAAACAAACCTTTTCTGACAGAGTTGGGAGCTCGTGATTCCTCTGCACAAGCCTACCATCTCTCCAAAAGCTAAATTTGGCTCCAGGTAGGAACAAACCAGAGTCTGAGCACCTGCAATGTAAATCACTCCCTATCTTTTCAATGACTTCAAAGCAGGCCATTCCACCATCAATCACTAGCTCATCTCCCACTTTGATACCTGCCATTAATTTCAACATAAACATTCTTTTAAAAAAAATGGCAATGACACGACACACGCCATAATACCAAGAAATTTTCTTCCTTTTTTGGGGGGTCTTGATTTTTGTGAGTGCGCAACTACCTTCAGAGAAACCTTCATCGTTTGCTTGAACTGTTAACGGACGAGAACCATCGAATTTCCTAGCAGTAAATAACCAGACCGAACCTTCCTGATCATCATCAGTCAAGAAGAGAACAAACCCATCAAAAAGTAGGAGTTTTTATCATTGAATAAGCAAGCATAGAAAACTTAAAAATCAATGCTTTATTCATCCATTGGCACTTTTATTAATGTAATCAAACACAAAAATAAAAACTTTATCCAAACTAGTTCTAGTTCTAATCTTCCAAACAAAAAATTAAAATAAAAAAAAATCACAGGGGCTGATCTATAAACGTACCTCAACTTTAACAGAGGAAGGAGATCCATGATCAACCACATGAATTTGACTCCCTTCAGTGTCAATCATGACAGAAACACAGAACCCCTTTTCTTCATTCAACCTCTTGATGTTCCTAATCACATCACAGTGCCACTCTCTGGTGTTGTGACACATGTTGAGCCTCGCAACATTCATACCTCCCAATGCCAATCTCTCCAAGTCCTCCAAAGAAGAACAAGTTGGTCCAACAGTGCACACAAGTTTAGTCTTCCTCAACCCCAAAAACCCTTTCTCTCTTAACTCTCTCTCTAACGCCACATCAAGCTCCAAATTCCCTTCCAAAACTCTCAATTTCCTGACACTTTCTGAATCCTCCAAACCCACTTGGACCATCGCCTGAACTCCACAAAAAACGTTTCTTTTCAACTTCCTTCCATTACAAGCAACCCCAGAAACAGAATTCTCGTAGAAATTGAAACTTGGGGTCTTGGGAGTCGTCTTAGCCACCATTATGTGGCTGCACATGTGAACCGAGTTGGTGGTGACCGCCATGGAAGTTGAACTTTCTCAGATCAAAACTCCAAAGATTGAAAAGGGAAACAAATGGGGTTAATTTGGATGGGAAATCCCGTCAAAGGTCGGATTTTTTTAGGAGTTTACAAGGAGAGGAAAAGGCATATTCCACAAGTCAAGAAGAAGGACGAGAGAAAAGGGCCAAAACAGGCTTAGCTACTACGGCTGTCTGTTGGGTCTTGGGCATTAAAAAATTTTGAAAAATGGGGACTAGTTGAAACAGTACTGGGGTCGTATATGAAGTAGCAGTCCAAAATCAACGGTCAACTACCTCTTCCTGGTGGCTTTTGGTCATTTTTGTTGTTGGTGTTGGTTGTCTCCAAAGTTGAAAGTCCTACCAAATTGCTCTAAAAGCCATGGATTATGAGTTTATGTTAGTGGAGATTTAGAGAACGTTTGGTTTATGTATTCAGAATTATAATTTATAATTATTTTTATTTTATGTACATTTTTTTGTGAGAAAAAACACGTATTCAAAATTATAATTTATAATTATTTTTATTTTACATATATTTTTTGTGAGAAAAAATACGATAAAAAATCATGAATCATAATTCAGAATCAGAAACGAATATAAAAAATAAACATCCTTTTAATTCACATATTCAGAATTATAATTTAAAATTATTTTTAATTTACATTTATTTTTTATAAAATAAACATTATAATAAATTATAAACTATTATTTAAATCATAGCACACAAATTTATAAAATGTGTCAAAGATTAACAAAAGAAAAATATTTTGAGTTGAGAGATGGGCGCTAAGGAGAAGGCTACAGAAGATTAGGACACTTTTTGGCACGTGAGATTTCTCATGTACGGACTGCAGAAAACAGCTGTGTCAGTGTGTTGTGAGTAGCTGTTGAGCTGTTGCTCTTATGTGGGGACCTATGGAGTATGGACAGCCTAGCAAAGGCAAACGCTTTACAAGCAAAACGTTTTTTTATTTTGTCCTTTTTTTTTTTTTTTGACATCTTCTTTTACCCGTTAATTTAAATTAATACGTGATTTTATATGAAATTTTTTTACTATAATAAAAAAATTAGATATAATTATTTTTGAGATTTCTCTCTTAACTCTCTCTCTAACGCCACATCAAGCTCCAAATTCCCTTCCAAAACTCTCAATTTCCTGACACTTTCTGAATCCTCCAAACCCACTTGGACCATCGCCTGAACTCCACAAAAAACGTTTCTTTTCAACTTCCTTCCATTACAAGCAACCCCAGAAACAGAATAAATTAATACGTGATTTTATATGAAATTTTTTTACTATAATAAAAAAATTAGATATAATTATTTTTGAGAATTTTGTACTATAACAAAACTCAAATTATAAATTCAAATTGATAAAATAAACGGAACTCTGTTAACTTTTTTTTGTTAGTAAGTCATTTGTTTTGTGAGTATCTTTGTTAAACATACTAATACAGTGTTGAGAAAAACACGTCTTTACACCCACGCATTAAAAAATAAACTGAAATAACAATAATAGAAAAATAGAGGATAAAAATTTAAGTAGTTCAGAAAAAATTTCTGCGTCCACGGAAGAGAGAAAAACTTCACTAACAGTTTTAAATTTTACACTCAACAAATTTTCTTTCATTCTCTTTCTACCTAAAACCCTTTACATATTTTGTTTATTTCTCTCTTCACTTTTCTCTCTCAAAATGAGCCACTTTTTATGTACACTTTTCTCTCAGCACACAAAACACTTATTTATAGATTCCTAATAATACTTTTCTAAAAACACGAAATAGTATTTTTTTTCAAAATCAATTTAAGGCACTTACCTAATAATCTTCACATTGATTCAAATTCTTTCAACTCACTCATTTGGGTATCCAATTTCAAAACTCGTCGTCACACCGACAATGCAAACTTCAACAAGAATAAACATGTATCAAGTTCAAACTCTAGAATTATAATTTATAATTATTTTTATTTTATGTATATTTTTTGTGAGAAAAAGCACGTATTCAGAATTATAATTTATAATTATTTTTATTTTACGTATATTTTTTGTGAGAAAAAATACGATAAAAAATCATGAATCATAATTCAGAATCAGAAACGAATATAAAAAATAAACATCCTTTTAATTTACATATTCAGAATTATAATTTAAAATTATTTTTAATTTACATTTATTTTTTATAAAATAAACATTATAATAAATTATAAACTATTATTTAAATCATAGCACACAAATTTATAAAATGTGTCAAAGATTAACAAAAGAAAAATATTTTGAGTTGAGAGATGGGCGCTAAGGAGAAGGCTACAGAAGATTAGGACACTTTTTGGCACGTGAGATTTCTCATGTACGGACTGCAGAAAACAGCTGTGTCAGTGTGTTGTGAGTAGCTGTTGAGCTGTTGCTCTTATGTGGGGACCTATGGAGTATGGACAGCCTAGCAAAGGCAAACGCTTTACAAGCAAAACGTTTTTTTTTTTTTTCCTTTTTTTTTTTTTTTTGACATCTTCTTTTACCCGTTAATTTAAATTAATACGTGATTTTATATGAAATTTTTTTACTATAATAAAAAAATTAGATATAATTATTTTTAAGAATTTTGTACTATAACAAAACTCAAATTATAAATTCAAATTGATAAAATAAACGGAACTCTGTTAACTTTTTTTTGTTAGTAAGTCATTTGTTTTGTGAGTATCTTTGTTAAACATACTAATACAGTGTTGAGAAAAACACGTCTTTACACCCACGCATTAAAAAATAAACTGAAATAACAATAATAGAAAAATAGAGGATAAAAATTTAAGTAGTTCAGAAAAAATTTCTGCGTCCACGGAAGAGAGAAAAACTTCACTAACAGTTTTAAAATTTTACACTCAACAAATTTTCTTTCATTCTCTTTCTACCTAAAACCCTTTACATATTTTGTTTATTTCTCTCTTCACTTTTCTCTCTCAAAATGAGCCACTTTTTATGTACACTTTTCTCTCAGCACACAAAACACTTATTTATAGATTCCTAATAACACTTTTCTAAAAACACGAAATAGTATTTTTTTTCAAAATCAATTTAAGGCACTTACCTAATAATCTTCACATTGATTCAAATTCTTTCAACTCACTCATTTGGGTATCCAATTTCAAAACTCGTCGTCACACCGACAATGCAAACTTCAACAAGAATAAACATGTATCAAGTTCAAACTCTCATCAAACTTGAGACGAGAAATTGTCTTCTTTTTCTTCAAAGTATCTTCACCGCTATGAGTATTCACCATCTTATCTTTATCATCTTCAATTGTTATCAGCTTATTGCACTCTCTTACTACTGCAACTTCTTTCACAACAGAATAATATTCTTTGTGACTTGACTTCATCTTCGTAGCTTCACCTACAATTGTAGTCTCAATCATTTTATACAAGTTTTTCACTTTTTCACCCTCCATGGCTACTAAATCACCTTTACTTGCATAAAACCACTTTTCGCATAGTACTCAGACTGAAAGTGTCCAAAACTCCAGAAGAAATCAAACTTCTCATTAGTTGAGGAACATGCCTAAATTTTGTTTCCTCACAACGCCACCAAACATCTTCACATTAACAATACTTATTTCAAAAGTTTTAGTACTAGAATCATTAGCCATCAATAAAGTATCAGCATCATAAGACTTATAAGAATCAAACCACTTATTATATGAATACATATTAAACAAGCATCTAGAATCTAAGATCCAATAGTCAGAAATATTTTTATTAGCAATAACAAAATAAACATCATCTTTACTATCATACTTGTCGCCAACAACATTTACAGAAATTGAAGTCTCTTAGGTTTCTTGATTTCTCTTTTCTTCAAGGTGCTTTGTTAGTTCTTCACAGCTTCTCCTAATATCCCCCTTCTTATGACATTAGTAGCATTCAATATCCTTCCTTGGTTGGGATTCGATTATCTTTCTTATCATAACATCTACTTCGTGACTTACTCTTATCCCCATTAGAATCTGACTTAGCCATTAAAACTTGTTTAGTATAAGACGTACTACTTGACTTCTTCATATTTGCAGCCTCTAACAGAGTAGTCGACACCTCATCCACAGTCAACGTCGTCTTTCCAACTAATAGTGTAGTCACCAAAGTCTCATATGATTTGAGTAGGGCGAGCAACAAAATTACCGATTTATCTTCCTCAGCAATTTTGACCTCTACACTTAACATATGCACTTATTAAAATTATTTATACGATCCCTAATATCATTTTTTTCATCCATCTTCTACTCATACAAATGCTTCTTCAAATATAATCTATTTGTTAGGGAATTCGACATATAATTTTTTTCTAATTTTTTCTTTAACTCAGAATAAGATGTCTCATTCATAATACTATATTTCAATTCAGGAGCCAAAGTTAAACGAACAGTGGTTACCGCTTTCGCTTTCAATTCTTTCCAATCTTCATCTTTCATATTTTTTGGTTTTTTCCCTTGCAACGCTTTCAGTAATCCCTGCTGAATCAGAACATCTTTGACCGTACTCTACCAAATGTTGAAATTACTCTTTCCATCAAACCGCTTAATGTACTCAAACTTTATCTCGTGTATCATCTTGACTTTTTTAAATCTTCATCACAGCTCTGATACCAATTTTTGAGAAAAAAACACACCCCTACACCCATGCAAGAGAAAAATAAACTATAACAAAGATAATAAAAAAATAGAGAAGACAAAAATTTAAGTGGTTCAGAAAAATTTTCTACGTCTATAGAAGAAGGAGAAAAACTTCACTAACAGTTTTAGAATTACACACTCAATAAATTTTTTCTTTCTATTTAAAACTTCTTACACCTTTCGCCTATCTATCTCTTCACATTTCTTTCTTTCTCTCAAAATGATATACTCTTTCTTTACACTTTTTTCTTAGCACACAAAGTCTTACATAAAACATTTATTTATACTCTTAATAACTCTTGTCTAAAAACAAAAAGTAATATCTTATCAAAAAATACAAAATAATAAATTTTTAAAAATCAATTTGAGACACTTACCCACATAAAGGTATCAAAATGTTAAGTTTCTATCCGCAAAGATAAAAAGACAGTTTTATAGCAGAAATTCTTTTTTTCTTTTCAAAGGTCAAGTGTAATCTGAATATTTGTACCGTTGTGATCTTGGAACTTAGCATGGATTTAATATTACTCTTCTCATTGTATGACATCTGATATGTAATTACTCTACCAAACGTGGAGGCCAATAAATGCTTCATAATGTAGCCTGCTAAAACAGT